TCCTGTCTGGGTCTGGGGTGTGGGTGAACCAGATTTGGGGCTGTCAGGGGCCCCAGCAATAAGGTCTGGGTCAGTATGTGTCATAGCTACCAGCCGGTCATGTGGTTGCTCCCGTTGTTTTAGTCATTTGGTCATTATGGTTGCTTAGGCTTTTATATATAGATGGTACCACCCAGGAGAAAAGGAAGCTGATGCTCAAAGTCCAAACTCTCTGGTCCAGGGTTTGGGCAGAAATTTAAAATGTTTCAGTGGAACACTATGATATGTGGAAGCATTGGTGAGGCAAGTTTTATCAGAGGACTTTGGAGCTTGGCCATTTACGGTAAGGAGCACCAACACAGGATCTTCCTGGACAACCAGACCCTCTGCTTCCAAAAGCGTTCTGGTGTTCAAGGTCTGGTTATACCCTGGTCCTTTGGTTCCATGTGTGGGAGTGTAGGAGGTGAAGTGAAGGGTGGTGAAGCAAGGCTTTGGTTCTTGGCTGCTGGAGATCAAAGATCTCTCCCCTGCAGATGCTTTAGCTGCATGGCTTGAAGTTTTGGTCTGTTGTCCCCAAAAAGCAACTCAGTGTTTCATTAAACAGAATAGCAACTTTGAGCTGGTTCTGAGGTCACATGATTACAAGTGTCAGATTTGGTTGGGGGATGTGAGGGCCATAAACTCATTATTCCTCCAAAAGGTGACCTATACTGCTCCTGGTCCTCCCTAAAAACTTTCTGTGGTAAAAGTTACCAAACTGGTTGAGTTCATAGTACCCTTGTGGGAACCAGAGGGCCAGATCAAGAATTTGGCTTTATTTGAACTTAATTTTGAAGAATAGAGCAACTGTTTTCAACAGGACAATATCCTCAAAGAAATCCCTGAAATATTTGGTAACCTCTAAGAATAGGATATGATATCAATTATGCTCCATATCATTCTATTACCTTATTCTGTTAAAAATTTGATTCATCACTATCTTAAAAACCCACTGATTATAACTAAGTAGAGTTTATTACAATAAGTACAGGATAGTTCAATATTATAAAACCTATCACTATAATCTTACGATATTAACAGATTAAGGAAAAAAGCCACATAATTCTCTCCATATGCATAAAAACACGTTAGATAAAACTGAACATTTACTCATATTTTTAAAATTTCAAAGAAATAGGAATAGAAGGGAACTATATATCCAATCTAATAAAGAGAGAATATGCTAATTGACCATCACACCCTCACAAAGATGGCATCACCCACAGCCAATAAGGAGGGAATTGACTGCCACGACCTCAAAGGTGGCAACACCCACAGCCACAAGATGGTAGTGCCCAGGACCCTCAGCCCGCCAGGGTGGCAGATTCCCCAGGCGGGTCCGGTGGCTCTGTACGCCTGCCTCCAGAATCCCCCAGTCCACTCAGCCTCCCAGCCATTTCTTCCCACCACTAGAAAAGCACCAGTCCTGTCCATTCTGCCCGTTGTTTCTGCTTCTACAAAATGTTTTGAACAGAATTTTTTCAAAACACAGGACTAATGAGAAGGGGGAAAGTTGGTCCAGAGAGGGCTGGCCAGATTATTCAGAGCTTGAATCTGTTTATGGTGGTCTTTTAAGAAACACAATTGGAAGCAATTCTCCTATTTACATTCCCCCAACCTGTCTATTACCTTCCCTTGTCCAAAGCCCCCATTCCCTTGCTTTGAATTTAAAGGAGCCTCCAGGTTCTTAAAATGTTTTTTCTTGACTTTTGTGTAAGTCAAGTTAATTTATTGTTTCACCAACAGCTCTTTATACTTTGTTTCTGGACTTGTTGCATACTTTTTTTTTGTTGTTGTTCTATAATATTCTCCTCTGTTTTAAGTCTTACGGTTCTTCAAAGCACTAACTGCTCTGATCCTCTTGGAGGCCTTTGTGACTACCCGGATATTCACATCAATCCTGACTTTGAACTTTACATCACACACCTGTTTCTTCAATTAACAAATGCCAACTTGTATAATTTATATTTTTATGCTTATTTTTCTTCATCTCTTGTGATTTTCTCTTATCCTGTTTCAAGCACATGCTCTCACAATCAGAAGCTTCATTATATTTGTTGTGATAAAGGTCAGAGTTTGTAAAAATTTTTTATATTTTTTTTTATTGTTTAAAGTATCACATATGTCTCTTTCTCCCCTTCCCCCTGCCCCCATCGACCCCTCCCTGGCCAGTCCTACCCCCCAAGACAAACCCCCACTGCCCCAGTGTCTGTGTCCACTGGTGATGCTAATATGCATGCATAAATCCTTTGGTTGATCTCTTACAACACTCTACCATCCTTCCTTCTGAGATTTGACAGTCCATTCAGCACTGCTTCTCTGTCTCTGGATCCATTTTTGTTCATCAGTCTATGTTGTTCATCATATTCCACAAATGATTGAGATCACGTGATATATATCTTTCTCCGACTGGCTTATTTCCTTTAACATAATGCTCTCCAGTTCCATCCATGCTGTTGCAAATGATAAGAATTCCTTCTTTTTTATAGTAGTATTTCATTGTGATGTAACAGTCTTTTAATCCTCTCATCTGGTGATGGGCACTTAGGCTGTTTCCAAATCCTAGCTTTTATAAATTGTGCTGCTATGAACATAGGGATGCATATATCCTTTCTGATTGGTGCTTCTGATGTCTCGGAATATATTTCTAGGAATGGGATTACTGAATCAAATAGGAGTTCCATTTTTAGTTTTTTGAGGAAACTCCATACTGTTCTCCACAGTGGCTGCACCGGTCTGCATTCCCTAGCAGTGCAGGAGGGTTCCTTATTTCCCACATCCTCGCCAGCACTTCTTGTTTGTTGATTTGTTGATGATAGCCATTCTGACAGTGTGAGAAAGATGGTATCATATTGTTGTTTTGATTTGCATCTCTCAGATGACTAGTGACTTTGAGCATGTTTTTATGTGTCTCTTGGCTTTCTGTTTGTCCTCTTTTGAAAAGTGTCTATTTAGGTCCTTTGCCCATTTTTTGATTTGATTGTTTATCTTCCTTTTATTAAGTTGTATGAGTGCCCTGGTTAGTATTTTGTTAGTAAATGTTGGAGATTAAACCCTTATCAGAAATAACATTGACACATTTGTTCTCCCATGCAGTGGGCTTTCTTGTTGTTTTGTTGATGGTTTCTTTTGCTGTGTAGAAGCCTTTAATTTTGATGTAGTCCCATTTGTTTATTTTCTCAAGTTTGTAATTTTTTAATAAACAAGTTTTTAAAAAATAACATATTTTTCAATTACAGCTGGCATACATTATTACCTTAGTTTCAGGTGAACCATATAGTGATTAGACTTATGAAGCGATCAGCCCGGGAAGTCTAATGCCCATCTGACACCATACAAAGTTATCACGACAATACTGACTATATTCCATATGCTGTACTGTACATCCCTATGACTATTTTAATAACTGATAATCTGTACTTTTTAATCCCTTTTCCCTTTTTCACACACACACTCCCCAATCTGGGGGCTACCCATTTGTTCCTTGTATGAGTTTGGTTTGTTTATTCATTTATTGTTTATTTTTATTTTATCCTCATCTGAGATTATGTGTTTTTAAAAAAATATATATTTTATTGATTTTTTACAGAGAAGAAGGGAGAGGGATAGAGAGCCAGAAACATCAATGAAAGAGGAACATCGACCAGCTGCTTCCTGCACGCTCCCTACTGGGTATGTGTCTGTAGCCAAGGTACATGCCCCTGACCGGAATCAAACCTGGGACCCTTCAGTCTGCAGGCCGACGCTCTATCCACTGAGCAAACCAGACAGGGCTGAGACTATGTTTTTATTGATAAAGAGGGAGAAATAGACAGACAGATAGACAAAGAGGTTGGCTGCCTCCAGTACATGCCCGGGCCAAGAATGGGACTGACACCGTAGGTATGTGCCCTGACCTGTAGACCAGCTGTCACCTTGCAGCCTTTCTGGTGTCTGGGACATGCTCCAACCAACTAAGCAACCGGCTGCGTCTCTGTTTATTTTTATTCTAGTTTTAAAAACCACCACCAAAAAAACCCCACCAATCATCCTTGAATAATGCTGATTAAATCAGCTGATTTAATTGGTCACTGTGTTTATGGGAGATTCTTTTCTAGAAATCTAGGGCGTGGAAGAAGGGAGAGATAATAAAAGGTCCTTGTTCACAAGCCACAGCAGCTGGTCTTTGCCAATGGTCGCGCTTTGCAGGCTGAACCCACTCAGTTCTATGACCTTGTTCATGTTTGAGATTGCCACGTTTGTGTGCCCCAAAGGGGCAGGTTGGTGGGTCAGTATTGAGTGCTGAACACATTTATGTTTTTAATGGGTATGATGAACGCATATGTTATATTCACAAAGCCAAGTACTCTAGAAGCATACAACGAGAAGTAACCGCTCCTCCTCATCCCGCCAGCCTCTTCTTTCTGTAGCTAGAACGTTTATTCGCCTCCGTGGTACAAGCCCACATTGGGTTAATTTTAGTCGCACTTTTGAAAAAAAACACGCAAGTCTCCAAATAACTTCTTTGTCTCCGGCTCCAGCGGCTGGCGGTGGAGACTTAATATAGCGCCCAGCTGTTCATTCCGGTTTCTTTTTTGGTAGCGGCCCTAACCTACGCATTTGCCTGTAGTTTCCACCCCGGTTGTGAGGGGTGTAAACACAAGAAATTAAAAAAAAAAAAAAAGTACAAAAAAATAGCAACACAAATACGTCCCGAGCGCCGAGCGCCAAGCCGGGCGGCAGCGGAAATGCGCGTCCGCGGGTGCGGCTTGCGGGCGCCCGGCGCCCCTTCCCCACCTGTCGGGGGCGCGCACTGACCGCCGCCGCCGCCCGCCCGCGCGGAGGCCCCGCCCCGCCCAGGCCCCCATTGGCGGAGGCGGTGGGCCGGGACGCGCGCCCAAAGGCCCGGATGGGCCGCTACTTCCGGCGCGGCGCCCTCGGGCGGTAGGGGTCGCCGTTTCACAGTTTCGGTGCCCCCGGTCCAGCTCGGCCCCGCCGGGGACATGTGCGGGCTTGTGCTTTCAGAAGCAACATGGAGCCGGAAGCCGAGCCTGAGGGGCAGCCCTGAGCCCTCCGGCCGAGGCCCTGCCGCTTCCCAGGTCAGGAGCCTCGTTCTCCGCACACAGTAAGGTCAGCGGCCGGGGCCCGCGGGTGGGCGCCCTGAGTGGAGGACGGCGCGCCTGGGGAGGGCGCCGGGTCACCTTGGGGAAGCCCGCACCCCCCTCCGGGCGCGGGAAAGCCGGCTCGGCGGGGAGCAGGTCTCCGCCGGGAAGCGCGCGGGCAGTGGTGGGCTTGGTGCTGTCGTGGCCAGCCTCCTCCCTGGCACGCAGGCGGTGTGCATTTTGTGTGCATTTTGTGGCGGGGGGCGCAGAGCGCGTGGGCTCGCGAAGGTCCTGCTGGAAGCAGACGGGCTGGTTGCCACCTGGGTGTCAGGCCGCGCGCTCCCGGCGGGTGGGCGGAGGGCTGCGCGGGCGGCCGGGGGAGGTCACGTGGGCGGGGCGGGGTCACGTGGGCGGGGGGCGCTGCGGCGCCGGGGCCGGGGTGGGGGTGGGGGTCTTGACAGGTGCGGGTGCCGGTGCCGCGGCCCCGGAAGCGGCGCGGAGTCTGGGCGCGAGTGGGCTGGGTCTCGGGCCGGTTGACTCAGCTGGTGGCCGGGCCGGTCAAGTTGGGACACGTCCCGAGGCCGCCGTCCCGGGAGCTAAGCCCCGACTTGTCTGCAGCCGGGGATTTAAACCGTGACCTCTGCCAGCTGCGCTCACTCTGGCGTCAGGCTCGCAGCGCTCGCTCGCTCGCTCCCCAGCGATCCAGGTAAGGACCCGCTTGCAGAGAGATGCCTTTACTTTTTTTGTAAACGCATCGCTATAGGAAGGTATTGTGTTAAGCATGTATGGTGTTTTATCTTTTTTCCCTCCTCTTTAGGCAGATGTGCAACACCAGTATGTCTGTGTCCGCTGATGGTGCTGTGAGCACCTCACAGATTCCAGCTTCTGAGCAAGAGACCCTGGTTGGTATTTTACTTCAAGGTGTAACTTTTAAGAATATTTTTACTTTATGGTGTGATCAGCTAAATTATGTTGATACCTCACCCAATCATAGCATGACTCTTTAAAAGAGTGAAATTCTGTGTACATAGCTTACATTCTGCTGCGTGGGCATCGCTGGGTGTGGAGTCAGAGTTACTGTAAGAAACAGTCTTTTCTTTGCTCTTTGCCACTCTGGATGTAAAGGTGAGTTCCACGGCATGCTTAGGCATGGGTGCTGACGTTCATTACGTGACAGTTTTTTTCTGTTTTGACTCATTAGTATTTAACTTTTTAAGTGGTTCCTAGAAGTCACAAAAGTAATTCATGCATTGGCAGAAATGAAGAAAGTCACAAATGAAAATTCTAGTCTTCTGATTAGTATCCCCCAAAGCAGCTTCGGGGTAGCAAAACTTTGGTTCCCTTCAGTGTAGCTGACTGGCCCCTGGAATACAGGAGTAAACATTTATAAAGTAGATAATTGAAATGGAGACCAACTAAGAGGCAGCATGATATAGTTGGAAGAAAATGGTGGCTTGTAATTGAGGGGCATAAGTGGCAGTCTCAGATCTGCTCTTAATTACCTTGTCACCTTGGTTTGGTTATTTAAATTCTCCATTCTTCAGGAGTCTAATCTGTAGACGGAAAAGATTGGTAAAAGGCCCCACACTAAAGGGTTATTTTTCTTGGATTTTGTAATTTAGTTTACAGTAAGCACATAGTTGTATTTCATTTATGGCTGAGTTTGTAAGATAAACAGATGACAGAAATAACTGGAGGGAAAAAACATAATTTTCACTGCATTGCCATGGATACCTGTTTTGATGACAACTGGTAATAGTTGAGAAGTCTGACTGTTTGTGTAATAATTTGGTCCCAGCATTTTTTTTCAAACTCCTGAGACAGTCTGGTATTCAGTTTATATAGTATATTACATTAGTGAAAACATTATGGCTTGTTTTTTGAAGTATAACCTCATGAGATTGTTAAATGTAGTGTTTGCTACCCTTATTGAAATTATGGACATGTTTGCAGTGGGGCTTATAGTTATGTAATAAATTTGGAAGTATAATAGCAACTCTTTTTCATAGGTTAGACCAAAGCCATTGCTTTCGAAGTTGTTAAAATCTGTTGGTGCACAAAAAGACACTTATACTATGAAAGAGGTAAGCTGAACTAAGAGTTAATGAGATAACTAATATCTTACTAGCATTTTGCTGCCTTTTCCTAATGTGTAGTACTTAGATATCTGGGCAGTTAAGATCTGAAAAAATATATTTTAAAGTTTTATTTAAATCAGAAGCAATGTCTCTGCATCCATCAAATTAGAAGGAAAAGATTTAAAAGCAACTTTTTATAAGGTGGTTATTTTCGATGGTTGTGAATGTGGTTGCTGGTTTAACCCTCTTCAGATAAATATATTGAATGTATTTGAAACTAACGTTTAATTTTTATTAATCCTCAGAAATCATATTTCTATTTCAGGTTATATTTTATCTTGGCCAATATATTATGAAGAAGCGATTATATGATGAGAAGCAACAGCATATTGTATATTGTTCAAATGATCTTCTAGGGGATTTGTTTGGAGTGCCAAGTTTCTCTGTGAAAGAACACAGGTAAATTTTCTGTTTAGTCTATTGTAAAAAAAAAAAAAAAAAAAGCTGGGTAAATGTTTTAGTTCACCTGTACCCTCACTCCTTTAAAAAAAAATATATATTTTATTGATTTTTTACAGAGGGATAGAGAGTTAGAAACATCGATGAGAGAGATACTGGCAGCCAGGGAAAGGAAGACCCACTTTTTTATTTTTTTATTTTATTATTAAATATATTTTATTGATTTTTCACAGAGAGGAAGGGAGAGAGATAGATAGTTAGAAACATCGATGAGAGAGAATTATCGACCAGCTGCCTCCTGCACACCCCCTACTGGGGATATACCCACAACCACTGTACATGTCCTTGACCGGAATCAAACCTGGGACCTTTCAGTCCGCACGCTGACGCTCTATCCAATGAGGCAAACTGGTTTCGGCGAAAGGCCCATTCTTAAAAGTATTGTGCGCTAACTTATTGTACCACTGGCGCTCCTGTACCACTGGCGCTCCTGCCATTCTTGCACAAATCTTCATGCATCGGGCATCTAGTTATATATAAAAGGTGCTAAATTTTAATTTCTTAGCAATCCTTACTAATAAGAACCTAAGTAGTCATGCCGTGATGCCCTCACACTGTCACAAGATGGCCTGCACATAGCGGGCATGCGAAGGTGGGTGGGGCTGGGCTTGATGCTGTGTGTATGGCACAGTGCCTGCCGGGGAGTTCCACCTCCACAAGGCGAGGCCTGCCTGCGGGACCTGCCTCCCAGCCTTGGATGGTGTGAAGGCGCCGCCACCCCTGGCTCTGGCCTACCTCTGGGGCAATCCATCGAGGATCCCCTGATGGGTGAATGGGGCCTACCTCTTTGGGATGATTGATTGTGGGGCTCCTGTACTGTGACAGAGCACAGGTCAGGGTGGAGGATCCCCCACACCCCGAGTGCATGAATTTTATACACTGGGTCTCTAGTATAGCAGAGAGGGTGGGGCAAAAGTAGGTTTATAGTTGTGAGTGCAAGAAACACAGTTTATTCTTATATTATTATTTCAGATGTAATTCCTGGTATTAAAGTTATCTTTGACTTGAATTCTCATATGTTGAGAGGTTACATACTAGGGAAATTGCTGACTTAGAAAAAGGATATGAAAAAGAATGTTGACTTGTGAGTTTAAGTAGCTGTATCATCAGTCTGAAGGGTAAAAAGAAATAGTTGGATTTGGCACTTCTTTCTTAACATTGAGAATTAGAAATGATGTCTTTTGACCAAACACATTCTCTAAAATCTTTGGTTTAAAAAAGCACTGGAATAAGTGAAGACTGGAATAAGTGAATTGTCTTCCTATTAAGATATAAGTTCAGTGAGAGCAGAGATTTGTTATTTATTTATTTATTTATTTATTTATTTATTTATTTATATTCTTTCCTTCCAGTTTATAGAACAGTGATTGGTACATAATAGGTTCTCAGTCTGTATTTATGAAATGAATGAATATTGTTTTATCTTCAACACATTTTAAGGTCAAGAAAGAAAAGCCATTAAATGACTGGTCAAGGGTTGATGAAAGTCAAAATTATAATCAAGTTTCTATACTGGGTTTTTTATGACACACTATTTTTTTTAGGTAGTCTATTTCTAAACACAGAGCCAGAAATTTTCTCTTTCAAAAAAATACATATGTTAACCCGCTTTCTGCATTTATCCTATTCTCTGGGATTGTGTAGTAAAGTCCAAGCAAGGCACATTTCAAGAGATGGAAACAGCCGAAACCGGTTTGGCTCAATGGACGTCGGCTTGGGGACTGAAGGGTCCCTCGTTCGATTCTGGTCAGGGGCATGTACTTTGGTTGCGGGCATATCCCCAGTGGGGGTGTGCAAGAGGCAGCTGATCGATGACTCTCTCATCGATGTTTCTAACACTATCTCTCTCCCTTCCTCTCTGTACAAAATCAATAAAATATATTTAAAAAAAAATTATTTAAAAAAAAAAAAGAGATGGAAACATAAAATCTTTGGAACACAGAGACTAGTGATCGTAAAAGGTAGCTGTATGTAATCATTCTACAACTCATTATGTGCTTTTTAAGACCTAAAACATTGATATAATATGAATTCAGTGATTTAAAATTTGGTCTTTGTGCACTTAAATATAATAATCTTTTAAAAGCCTGGTTAAGGCCAGTTTGATAAATATACGTTTCTTATTTTTTCTCCCTACAAGGAAAATATACACAATGATCTACAGAAACTTGGTAATAGTCAATCAGACGGGTGAGTTAATTTTTGGATATCATAAACATATACCATGAAAATATTTTCAGACATTTTGTGTATGTTTAGTCATTTTGTAATTGTGATTCTCTTTAAAAGTTGCTTTAGTGATATGTTTAATTGTAATAAAAGAATATGATAAATTTAATGGGAAGAACTATATATGAACTAAAACAGCAGTCCCCAACCTTTAGACCTCATGGACCACCAGTGGTCCGCAGACCACCGGTTGTCTACTGCTGAACTAAACAACATAACACTAAGGCTCTAATGCAGATTTATGATATGTAAGCCTAAATGTCTTGTTACCTCTGTAGAGATGTGATCAAACCTGAAATGTATTGAAAGGTTTTGAGAAGTAATATATATACCAAGGTAGGATCATTTGAAAGGATGGGTATTTTTCTGTGTGTGTGTTTTTTTCCCCCCTGTTTTTTTACTTTTATAATAGACAAAGCTTTGTTTATCAATTTGTTTAGGCAAGTGATATTGTACTTTCTTGCTTTTAGATGTATTGTTCTTAACAGGTTATTTTTGGGTCACTTACCCTTTAAATAATCTGACAAAAGCAACTGGATTCTCATTCTAGAAAAATATACATATATAGTGGTATGCTGGTAAGTGTTTACTCTCCAGGGGAAAAGGCCTGGTTTATAGTGGTTGCTGATTTCCATGGTGTAAATACTTCCACCATGTCCATTTTTAGGATACAAACCCATAATTGGGAAGAGAGGTGTGCACAGTCTGGGTTTGAGTGATGGTAGGAGCTGGCTCCAATACACCACAGATTTCTTAAAGCCCATCCTAGAAAAGTCAGTTAAAAACTCTTCTCAAAAAACAAAAACAAAAAAAAACTGTTCTCAGAAGCTTATTTCCCAGGATGAACAGACTATTCCTTTGTACTCTTACTATTCTATGCTTAAATTTTATTGATATGTTGCTTTTAATAATTGTTCATATTGCTTTCTTATGTCCTGTTCAGGTCTACATTCTGCATCACATACACAGTACAGTGTTTTATTAATATGGTGTTTAGTAAATGTGTTATATATTTATTCTTCCAAAGTTAGGATTTAAGACCCAGAAAAGGGCATCACCATCTATCCTATTTTGAATAGAGGTGATTTGTAGTCTGGTGATTTTGTTTTACAAAGCTCTTTATGAAATCAAATGAAGGCAAATAAACAACTATAGGTAGTGTTTGAAGTTTTCTGAAGTATTGTCTCTGATGTATTCATTTATGTAAATTAATCTTGGTAGGCACAGCCATTGTGGTTTAGTGGTTGAGCTTCCATCTGTAAACCAGGATGTCAGTCGATTCTTAATCCAGGCACATGCTTGGGTTGCAGGCTCACCCCAGTAGGGGGCGTGCAGGAGGCAGCTGTGACCAATGGTTCTCTGTTATCATTGATGTTTTTCTCCTCGTTCTCTGAAATAAAAAATATATATTTTAAAAATTAGCCTTGGTAGAATTTTGAAAAGAACAAAAAGTAAATAAACCTCGGTGGATTACTAGCAAAATTTTGTTAATGAGATGGTAGTTTGTAAGTTTCTTATGTTATTTCCATTCTGAGTTTGTTTCAGGTTTCAGTTTAGTGGCATTAGCTTTAGAACTCATATTGTTCTAATCCTTGTCATACGTAGTGCTTCCTTTCTTATTACATCTGCTTTGTAATGCCTGTTATACTAAAAATATGAAATGTACATGTACAACTTAAGTATAATACCTTGCTCATAATAATAAGAAATAAACTGTTATGACATTGTATATAATTTCAAATTGTTAATGCTCAGGCCTGACTTCCCTACTAAGGTGAAAATGTCTCAGGGAGCAGTAAAGTGCATTTGATTATGATGTTTGGTAATTTCTGTAACTGAAACTGACTTTTTGAGTGCCATGTCTACACATCCAATTAAAGACTAAACTTACCTACCTCAGTGAGTTTCATCCCCTTTAGTGCACTGTCCTTCCATCCAAATCTATTCGTCTTCTGCAGTTTCTGTCTTGGTGAATGGCAACACCCATTTATGCACCCAGGGTGGAATCTTGGAATCCTTAACTTCTTTCTCCCTTTGCCTTGTGTGTCAGACACCCAGGTTTTTATCTTTTTAATTTCTCTGGAATTCATCTTTTTTCCATGGCTTAGTTTAGATTTTAATACTTATTTATATGTATTGTTGCAGTTGCTGTCCAATACTGGTTTTCCTGCCTCTGCTCTTTTTCCTTATATTTTGTCTGAGTGATTTGTCACTCCTTTGCATAAAAAGACCATTGCTCAGTGGTTGAACTATAACCAAGAGGTCACCGTTTGATTCCCAGTGGGGTGGAAGAGACATATGCCTGAGTTGCGGGCTTGATCCCCAATGTGGGGTGTGTAAGAGGCAGCCAATCAATGATTCTTTCTCATCACTGATGTTTCTATCTCTCCCTCCCTCCCTTTTCCTTCCTTTCTGAAGTCAATAAAGATTAAAAAATTTATAAAAAGACCATTTAGGGAAGGATTGCTTGCTCGATAAAATACTTGCTGTGCACTGGCAAGTCAGTTTTTAAAAATATTTTTTAGTTTTTATTTTTATTTATTTATTTTTAAAATATATTTTATTGGTTTTATACAGAGAGGAAGGGAGAGAGATAGAGAGTTAGAAACATCGATGAGAGAGAGTCATCGATCAGCTGCCTCTTGCACACCCCCTACTGGGGATATGCCCGCAACCAAGGTACATGCCCTTGACTGGAATCAAATCCGGGACCCTTCAGTCCCCAAGCCAACGCTCTATCCATTGAGCCAAACCGATCCTGGCAAAAAAAATATTTTTTAGTTTTTAATGTGTATATTTTTTATTGATCCCCAGTAGGGGTTGAGCAAAACCTGGGCATGTGCCTTGACCGGGAATCGAACCATGACCAGGTTCATAGGTTGACTCTCAACCACTGAGCCATGCCAGCCAGTCTGGGAGACTCATGATTAATATTTGTTGAAAGGTTAAATTGTGTGAGCATTTTGTCCTGGATTATATATTGAGTAGCCCTTTCTTAATTTGTGTTTTTCTATTTTTATTTTCCACCAGAACCATCAGATTCAGGCACATCTGTGAGTGAAAACAGAGGTCACCTTGAAGGTGGGGGTGATCAAAAGGTAATTTTGAAATGAACTCATTCTAGTATAATTGTTAAAAATAGGAATGTTTATTACAGTGGGGAATTAGCTCTCTGGTGTTACAAGTTAAGTTTGTGGGTCTTTTCCCCTTGAATTCTTAGGACTCTGTACAAGAGCTGCAGGAAGAGAAACCTTCATCTTCAGATTTGGTTTCTAGACCATCTACCTCATCAAGAAGGAGAACAATTAGTGAGACAGGTAATGTGAATATTTAATTGACATTTTCAAACAACTTTTTAGTGTTCATTTTCTTAGGAAATTAATACATTTAGGTTTAATGACATTGTGGTTTTGGTTTAGATGAATTAATTTCTGAGTCTTAGTCTCAGTTTTATGTGACTTTGTAAAAAATTGCTTTCTGAGCAACATTTTTCTGGTTTACTGCAGACACAGTTTACTTTGCCCCCCTGGATTTTATAGTTAGCCAGTTTTCTATTCAAGATAATAGAGGACAAAGATGTAAACTCTGTTTTATTCATTATTCTTAGTCATCTTAGCAGTTGAAGTATTTTAATTGTTTTTAATAAGATAAAATATCAGTGAGTTTAAAATGGTAAATAGCGTCTTAGAAATAAAAACAAGATAAAGAAAATAGCTGAACAGTTTTGCAGTGGAGGAGGAGGCTGTTGCCTAATCAAAAGTCATTATAACCAAAAATATATGAACCAGGTGAAAGAAGATCAATGAAATAATTATACCCAGATTAAAATCTTGTATGTGAGCACAGTAAGGGCAGAGGAGTCATTAAATATATGGGACTGGAACAAAAGGTTAGTTATTTTGGGGGGAGAGAATCAGTTTATATTTGTATTTATGCTGAAGTGAATTCCAGATGTACCTTCTAAGTATATTGACTTATGACAGAGAAGTCCTAGATTGTTTAATAAAAGCTAGGGATAGATTAAATTGTGATTTAATGGTGATAACATTCTGAAAGAAGCTTAAAAAAGCTTTTAAAAATACTATTCTATTATTCTGGACAGATCCAATGAAAATGTTAACTGTTGAAACTGAGGTTAAATTTCAGAGGAACTGAATTTCAGTACAAATAAATACTCATGACAGCTCAATTTCTAAATAAACTGTGTAGCAATTTAATTAATTTGCTTTTCCTTACATATCCAGAAGAAAACTCAGAGGAATTACCTGGTGAACGTCAAAGGAAGCGCCACAGATCTGATAGTATTTCCTTTTCCTTTGACGAAAGCCTTGCTCTGTGTGTGATAAGGGAGATCCGCTGTGAAAGAAGCAGTAGCAGTGAATCAACAGGGACTTCGTCAAATCCGGTAATCTTCTTGCTTAAGTAAAAAATGACTTAATAAGACTTGTTTTTTAAATCTGATTTTGGAAGTTCTAATAAGCTTTCAGGTGGGATGTACATGTATGATATACGATTACCACTATACAGTGGTAATTTTTTTATTTTTTATTTTTATGAGTTTGTTTAAGCCAAACTGGTGACATATCCAGGGAGCAAGATCTCAAATGAGAGATGATCCCAGTAAGTTTTTGGTTTCTTTTTTTCTAAATAAACAAGTATAGATCTTCCCCACCCCAATCCCAGATTTAGAGAGAATGGTGTAAGATAGCAGAGTAGCATTGAGGTGTGTTGGTAAAATTAGTACCAATATTAATAGTTACTAATGTCATCCTATATATTAGAGAATCTTGTAGGCTACTGCACCAATAGTAAATTCAAATAAATTGGAATATAGGGTAGTCTGAGAATTTAGATTTTTTTTTTAAAATATGGAAACAACCTGGCTGGTGTGGCCCAGTGGTTGAGTATCAACCTATGAACCAGGAAGTCACAGTTCGATATCCAGTCAGGGCACACGCCCAGGTTGTGGGCTCGATCCCTAGTGTGGGACATGCAGCAGGCAGCTGATCAATAATTCTCTCTCATCATTATTTTTTAAAAAATATATATTTTTATTAATTTCAGAGAGAAAGGGAGAGGGAAAGAGAAATAGAAACAATGTTAAGAGAGAATCATTGATTGGCTGCCTCCTGCATGCCCCTTACTGAGGTTCAAGCCTGCAACCTTGACACATGCTTTTGACTGGAATCAAACTCAGGACCCTTCAGTCTGTAGGCTGATGCTCTATTCACTGAGCCAAATCAGCTAGGGCTCTCTCTTATTATTGATGTTTCTTTGCTTCTGTCTCTCCCTCTCCCGTCCTTTCTGAAATCAATAAAAAAATGAAAATTAAAGTAAGGGAACAAAAATTGAAATTTGATTCAGTTAGATATTTTAGTATTCTAAGACAAACTTGTGTTAAGTATTTAGAATAAATTTTTTTACTATAGTTGTCAGCAAGTAAATTGGCAGAGTCTGAACTTTACATTTGGATATGTAGATCTAGACTTCAAGAAGGTCTGATACAGACGAAACTGGTTTGGCTCAGTGGATAGAGCGTCGGCCTGCAGACTGAAAAGTCCTGGGTTCGATTCCGGTCAGGGGCATGTACCTTGGTTGCCAGTAGGGGGTGTGAAAGAGGCAGCTGATCGATGATGGTCTCATTGATGTTTCTGACTCTTTATCCCTCTCTCTTCCTTTCTAAAAAATCAATAAAATATATATATATATTTTTTTTAAAAGGAGGAGGTCTGATACAAATGCTATGAAATAGGTGTAATATTGCATGGATGACACATATCAGTACATTTTGATTGATAAAAATTCCCAAGTATTAGCCAGGAATAAAATTCTTAAGAGATGTCACTGAAAGAAGTTTTGTAAAAATGTTTTTGTTAGCAATAGTACTTGAAAAATGGAAGATTTTTTTTCTTGTCATTCAACATGGTCTTTAAAATGTAATTAAAATTAGAACATTTATTTTTATATGACAGTGCCTCATAATCACTATTCTGGATCCGAATGATCATTTTTTAGTTCTTTAGAATATATAAGGGACTGATCCAATTATGATGTTAACCCTATTCTTATTGCTTGTATTTGTTTTTCTTTTCCAAAGCACTGATTTTATGGATACAGATGTGAACTTTACAGTTATTATTTAAAAGAGCTGTTACTTATGTAGGCCACTAGATGGCATGAGTAGAATAAGTTTATTCAGTAGATATTTAAGTGTCTTCTATTCTAGGTTTATTTGGCACTTGAGATACATTAGTCAAAGTAGATATGATCCCTATCCTTATGGGGAGATAGACCGTCTTGGTTCCTGGGTCAACACTCAATTGTTAAGCTCCACTGGCTGAGGGATCCAGAATCTTAATTTAGTGTCAGTGTGCAGAATAGAATTAAGGAAAAGTTAGGGGCATAGGGAAGATTTAGGAAGCTGTTAGAGGCCAACAACCAACAAGTAATGTATTATACAATGTCACTCCCTCCTCTTCTCTCCTCCCCTACCCCCTGATTTTAGGATCTTGATGCTGGTGTAAGTGAACAATCAGGTGATTGGTTGGATCAAGATTCAGTTTCAGATCGATTCAGTGTAGAATTTGAAGTTGAGTCTTTGAATTCGGAAGATTATAATCTCAGTGAAGAAGCACAAGAACTCTCAGATGAAGACGATGAGGTAGTTTTATTTTCTCTAATTATATTCTAAATGTTTTTTCATTTATTGACTGATGAGATTGAAAGAATGTATTCAGAATTCACTTGAAATAGTTGAGCTTGATTTATTCAAACTGGAATATTGTTATGTGGAATTAAGGCTTTTTAGTTCCTTGTCTGTTTTATATTTTTATAAATATGCCAAGAAGTATGTAGGCCTTAATGAGCCTTGTTATAATAGTCTGCTCATTAAAAATATTTAACTCAGTTCATCTCTATTAATATTAATTTAATTTTTATAAATGTGACGCATGCATGCAGTTATATAAAGTCACATAGTATCTCAAGATCTATTGTCTTACATTTTTAGCTTTTTCATTATTATTTAATACCTCCATGTTTATAAAATAAAATGCTTGTACTGCATATTTTGCTTCATTCATTTTTTATATCTTATCTGAGTTTTTGCCCTATTGGCTCAGGATTTCACTGATCTCCATTTCTCCCCCTTTACACTCACTCATTCCATTTGACTTTTGTCTCAGAATTTCTAATATATAGTAGCACATGCTATTCATTTAGGACTTACCATTAAGAAACCTTTCTGGTTGAAAAAAATTATGGATTTATTTTATTAGGTATATCAAGTTACTGTGTATCACGCAGGGGAGAGTGATACAGACTCATTTGAAGATGATCCAGAAATTTCCTTAGCTGTAAGTATACATCTATTTTTAAGGTGTCAAAAAATAACATTAAAATCAAGATTAGAATATATCTATCTAGTCTACTTCCTGATGAAGCAATTTTTATAAAGTTAAAATCTTTAAAATTTTAGTTATTTAAAGTGTTTTGTTCTTTTGTTTGTTGGGTTGGAATATGTTGCTACATTTTTTTAGCTTTTTGAGCTGAAACTTTTAAAGAACATTATTATGAAAGGTGATCCAAGATGGTGGTGGAATAGGTGGAAGGTACACCCAGGACCAAACAATTAAAATATAGAGCAATCAACCTGAATAACCAACTGAAGACCAGCTGAAGAGGTCTTATTAAGCAGGGATTTACAGAAAAGTCCACATTAAGACTTGAGACTCGTAGGAAGTGCAGAGAGCAAAAGGACTGACCCTGCTCCCACAGGCGGCAGTTGAGGTTCCAGGGGAGTGTCTCAGCTGCAGGGGGAATTCCCTGGTAAGTTTAGGTTCTTAAGCCCAAGCCAGGCTCCCCAGCCCAGAGCACCAGAGCATGGAAGAGCTGCCCATATGACATCTGGCTGTGAAAAGCAGCGGGATTTCTGTCTGCCAGGGAGAGGCAGGATTCCACTAGAAACAAGCAAATTTTGTTACACGGCTCTTGGACAGGGGAAATTTTTTCCTCACGTCCAACTGGTGCAGAGCCTTCCTTCCACAGGGCCAAATCTTGTCTTGTGTAGGCCTGATAAACTTTGCTGGCCTCACCCTGACGACTTCCTGAGGCCCTGCCCACCATGAAGGTGTGCAAGCACCCAGCAGGTGCAGCTAGACTTGGTATACCCTGGGGCATTTGCTAGTGTTCTTAGACCCAGCTTGGCACCATGATTGGACACATGTAGATATGGAGAACACCTCTCACATTGTCACTCACTAAGAACCTGTTGCATGCAAATTGAGTACTGTTAGAGGCCCTTTCAGTGACAGCCTAACAGGTGGAGGCAGACCTGGAGGTTCCTAGGGACTTTTGCTGACTGGCCCCTAGGTACAGTGCTGGTATAAGTAAGCCTTCGTGCACAGCTTAATCCTTCCCGAGCACACCTAAGCCCAGCCACAAATTGTGAATCACTTTGCTGCTTTAAACAGGTTGCCCTGAGCCAGTCATTGGCAGCGTCTGACATTGACCTTTACCAGAGTTTGTGCCAAGAGGCCCCAGATCCAGTACACCCAGTGGCCAGTGTCAGACACCATCAGAGTAGGATCCAGTTAGCTTCACAAGCAACATATCCAAGAAAGATCTCTGCAGGTACCAGATTCTACTGAGGCAAATTCCACTCTGAGTGGTTAGCGCCTGCACAGCAGCTCATGCTCTGTGGTCAGGATTGATCCTCACAGCCAGCCTAAGGGTTGACCCCACATATGAATAGGCCAATCACGAGACAGTTACAATAGGAGGGCTCATGTAATCCATACAAGGGACATTTCTGGAGCACCCAGCTCAGGTGATCAAGGACTCTGTGCCACAGGATCCCACGGACACCTAGTAGGGAAGGCCACCCTACCAACACAGAGTCATGGCAGGTCTACCGAGTATGTAGAAGCAAACACAAGTGGCAGCCATAATGGGGAGACAAACATGCCCCAAAGGAAAGAACAGAAGAAATCCCCAGAAAAAAAGCTAAATGGAGGCAAGCAATTTAGCAGATACAGAGTTTAAAATGGCTATAAAAATGCACAGGGACTTAGGAGAAGAATGGATGAAATCAATTAAGACTTAACCTAAAAGATAGTAAACATAAAAAGGCACATAGAAACCATAAAAAAGAATCGGTTAGAAATGAATACACTAGAAGAAATAAACAGTAGTTTGGATGATGATGAGGATCAAAGCAAGAAGAAAAACCCCAATCAGAGCAGCAAAATAACATTATTATAGAAAAATTGTACAGCATACAAAAATCTCTCAAATGTACTTATCACCAACTTCTAATAGTTACCAACATTTTGCCAATCTTGTGGAATATAAACATTTTGTTAATAGAATATAGTAGGATTTGCATTAAAAAAAAAATCAGGACTTGCCTGGCCGGGATGGCTCAGGGGTTGAGTGTCAATCTTTAAACCAGGAGGTTTGATTCCTGATCAGAGCACATGCCCAAGTTGTGGGCTCGATTCCCATTGTGGGTGTGTGTGGGAGGCAGCTGATCATTGATTTTCATCATTGATGTTTCTATCCCTCTCCTTTCCTCTCTGAAATCAATAAAAATATGTTTTCTGGAAAGAAGAAATCAGGACTTAGATATTGCATGATTTACTGGGTTCCTGAGGTATTTTTAACTGAATATTTGCTTTAATTTCTGTTAATGTTGCCTTTTTTGTTTGAATAGGAAATCTCATTTTTCTTTTCTGGGTTGAAACAATTACCCAGATGCAAAAGTAAACTTTTTTGCTATATTCTATATAATAAAAGCCTAATATGCTAAGTGTCCGGTTGACTGGTCAGTTGTTCAATCAAAGCATAATATGCTAATGATATGGTAAGGCCACTCAACCACTCATTATGATGTGCACTGACCCTCAGGGGACAGACGCTCCGACCCGTTGGTTAGCTTGCTGCTGGGTTTTGGCTGATTGGGACTGAGCGAGACAGGCCAGACACGCCCTGGAACTCTCCCACAGTCCCTTCCTGACTGGCCATCCTCCTGCATTCCTCCCTGGCCTGATTGTGCGCTGGTGGGGTCCCTCAGCCTGGCCTACACCCTCTTGCAATCTGGGTCCCCTCAGGGGATTTCAGAGAACTGGTTTCAGCCTGATCTTGCAGGCCAGTCTGCGAGACCCCACTGGTGCATGAATTGGTACATGAGTCTCTAGCTAGAAAATAATTCAGGTATCTAAACTCATTTGATATCAAGTTGAGTAAAATGTTTCAGACATAGATCTTGCAAATTTTTGGACTTTTTGAAGTATCTCAACTCCTGATATTATAAAACCTTTGTCTTTGGTTTTATCAGTTATAAGAATCCTACTTTAACAACTTGAAAGAACCAAGGTGGGAGAATGAACATTCTCCACCATTCTTGCTAATGTATTATGTCATTTGTTAGGCAGTTTAGAAATGGTACATTATTCATTGCAAGATAGGCAGGACCTCTGGTGGCAACTGTTACGTATACAGGGTTCTCAGGGAAAACCATGCTTCAGTTAAGATAGGGAGAGAAGGATGTGTTTAGTGAAGAGGCTGAAGATGGAAAGTTTTGGGTAATAAGTTAGGATAAAGAAAAAGCAGTGAGCAGTTACAGAGTGAGAACACAGGAAAGGATAAACAAGTATAAAAGGCATATATTTTGGATAGTGACAGTGATGACAGATTTTAGCTAACAGTGATTATTAAAGAATGTTTCCACATTGCTTTTGTGGGTGAAGTTAGGGAACACTCAGCTGCGCCCTGAGTTCTAGAGCACTGCTGAGGGAGTCCATGGCAGATTAAGAGAGTTTAATCTAGATTGATGGGTGGACTCTGGCACAGTATCCTGGATTGAGCCTTTAAGGGAGTGGAGTGATTAAAGTCTCATTCCAGATGGTAATTGATGTCGTGGCCCTTGTTTCAACTCAGAACCAACTGTGTATCTGTGTCCTCCAACAGATAATTTGAGGTGCATGGTTAAGAGGTTAACTGGAAAAAAAAAGTACTTAAAAATCTCATACTTGAGGAAAGACTGTTTAAATATTGAATGTTTTCTATTAAACATGAAATGCTGAAAATTAGGCTTTGTGATACATTTTACCTAGACATATTAAAGTTAGTGTTAAAATGACTAGTCATTAGAGGGTAACAGATTGTCTTATTTCATTGAAGGACTATTGGAAGTGTACTTCATGCAATGAAATGAATCCTCCCCTGCCATCACATTGCAATAGATGTTGGGCCCTTCGTGAGAATTGGCTTCCTGAAGACAAAGGGAAAGAAAAAGGAAAAGGAAGCATGCCTGAGGAAACCAAACTAGAAAACTCAACACAAGTAGAAGAGGGCTTTGATGTCCCTGATTGTAAAAAAAGTACGGTGAATGATTCCCAAGAATCATGTTTTGAGGAAAATCATGAAGAGATCACCCAAGCCTCCCAATCCCAAGAAAGTGAGGACTATTCTCAGCCATCAACTTCTGGTAGCATCATTTATAGCAGCCAAGAAGATGTCAAAGAGTATGAGAGGGAAGAAACACAAGACAAAGAAAGTGTGGAATCTAATTTTCCCAATAATGCCGTCGAACCTTGTGTGATTTGCCAAGGCCGACCTAAAAATGGTTGCATCGTCCATGGCAAAACAGGACATCTTATGGCATGCTTTACATGTGCAAAAAAGCTAAAAAAAAGAAATAAGCCCTGTCCAGTGTGTAGACAACCAATTCAAATGATTGTACTAACTTATTTCTCCTAGTTGACCTACCTATAAAAGTAGAATTATGCTATATAATAACGAGATAATATGCAAATGGTCATTACGCCATAACACAGGGCAGCGAGCTACAAGTGCGGAGAGCTACAGGAGGGCAAGGCAGCAAGCCACATGTGGAGAACTGAGCGGCAGTGGGCCGTGGCTAGCTGAGGCAAGCAGCATCGAGCTACTCACGCATGGATTTGTGCACAGCACCACTAGTATAATTCTAACTATATAACCTAAAATTTAGAGTGAAATATTTTTTTACATGTATAAAAACAAATTATAGTACATGTAGGTTTGTTTTCTGTAATTTCTCTACTTTGCAAGTGGGAAAATTTCACTTCTGTTTATATTTTATATTTAAGTTTTAATGTAATTTTAACTGAATATATAGCTCATTCTTTACCCTTGGCCTTCATTTTAATAATAATTTCTTTCTCTTAAATGAGAAGTTTCTGAATTAGAAATAGTGAATTGTCCTGGAAGGGATGTAGCCTGGACGCAGGGAGGAGAGTTAAGGTTAACTAGCCGTGCCATTTGTTGGCACGAAAAGTCCCTATTGTAATTTCTTTGCGTCATCTACAAAACTACCTTTTTGAGGCCAAGAACTTCTGGGATACACTTATAGGTGCTCAGTAAGAATTTATTTATTTATTAATCTTTATTGTTCAGATTATTACAGATGTTCCCCCCCCCCCCCCCCATAGCTTCCTTTCATCCGGTTCCCACCCCACCCCAGGCCCTTGCACCCACACTGTCCTTGTCCATAGGTGTAAGATCTTTGTCCATTCTCTTCCGTACCCCCACACCCCCTTCCCCCACAAGAATTGTCAGTCTGCCCCCTTTCCATGCCCCTGATTATATTAAACTCACTAGTTTATTCTGTTCATCAGATTTTTATTCACTTGATTTTTAGATTCACTTGTTGATAAATATGTATTTGCTGTCACTTTGTTGTTCTTTATTTTTTATCTTTGCCTTTTTCTTCTTCCTCTTCTTATGGAATATTTTTCAACATTTCATATAATACTGGTTTGGTGCTGGTGAACTCCTTTAGTTTTTTCTTGTCTGTGAAGCTCTTTATCTGACCTTCAATTCTAAATGATAGCCTTGCTGGGAAGGGTAATCTTGGTTGTAGGTTCTTGCTATTCATCACTTTGAATATTTATTGTCACTCCCTTTTGGCCTGCATAGTTTCTGTTGAGAAATCAGCTGACAGTCGTGTGGGTATTCCCTTATATGTAACTTTTTCTCTTGCTGCTTTTAAGATTTTCTCTTTGTTTTTTGGTCTTGGCATTTTAATTATGATGTTTCTTGGTGTGGTCCTCTTTGGATTCCTCTTGTTTGGGATTCTCTGCTTCTTAGACTTGTAAGTCTATTTCTTTCAGCAGGTAGGGGAAGTTTTCTGTCATTATTTCTTCAAATAGGTTTTTAATATTTTGCGCTCTCTCCTTCTGGCAACCCCATAATTTGGATATTGGTACACTTGAAGTTGTCCCAGAGGCTCCTTACACTATTATATCTTCATATTTTTTTATTTTATTTTTCTTTTTGCTCCCAGTTAAATGTATTTTTCTTTCTCATATTTCAAATGTTTGACTTGATTCTTGGGATCTTCTAGTCTACTGTTGAATCTCTGTATATTATTCTTTATTTCAGCACAGTTTGGGTGGGGTTATAAATTGGGTGGGGCAGGGTCTCAGGGAATCACTAAGGCGGAGCAAACAGCTATGATTGTCAGTCAGCCCTGCACCAGAGTAGTCCCAGTGCAAGAACAATGACCGCCGTGAGCACCTCCATCTGAAAGAAAGCTGTCCTCGTGTTCATGCCCCAATGCCAAACAGTCCAGTTTGTCCCCAGGTGAGTCTGGGTCCCCCAGAGACTTGCCCGGAACTGGAGTTCAGAGCAAGCGGGAGCTTGTATCTCCCTCCCAATTAAAAAAGCAGCACACCTGGGTGCCAGCCGGTTCCATGCCTCCGCACCTCCTACCAGACTCATTGGGCTTTCTTTAAGGCTCTACAGCAGCGGTTCTCACAGGTTGAGAACTGCTAGCTGGGTCACCTAAGACCTTCGGAAAACACAGATATTTACATTATGATTCATAATAGTAGCAAAATTACAGTTACGAAGTAGCAAAAATAATTTTATGATTGGGGGTCACCACAACATGAACTGTATTAAAGAAAGGGTCGTGGCATTAGAAAGGTTGGGAATCACTGGTCTAGGATATTACCAACTTACAATTATATATAATAGAGAAAATTTTTTTTATATTTACAAGTGATGCTTTATAAGGACAAATGTCCAAAGCATTAGTACTCAGAAGTGTTGAATATATTAAATTGTTAAATGGACTATAAACAGGATCTAATAAATACCAACAGAAAATAGAACAAGAGTAGTGTGAAGTGACAAGCAGGTAGAAAACCCCATGTAGGTAATGTACTTGGAATGATAGCTTTAAAAATATTGTTAGACCGAGACCGGTTTGGCTCAGTGGATGGAGCGTCGGTCTACGGACTGAAGGGTCCCAGGTTTGAGTCCAGTCAGGGGCATGTACCTTGGTTGTGGGCACATTCCCAGTGGGGGGTGTGCAAGAGGCAGCTCATCGATGTTTCTAACTATCCCTCTCTTCCTCTCTGTAAAAAATCAATAAAATATATATTTAAAAATATTGTTAGAATAATGCTATTTGGAATAAGAGAACCATAATAGTTCAATTTTTCCATTACTGTCACGTTAGGTGAATTTATTTATTTCTTGGCTCAATTTTAGGACTCTTGTGTGTTTTTGATTCACACCCGAACCCAAGCCACCCTCAAATTAAGCCTTTCTTTAAGAATACGGTAATATCTGCATAAATTGACCAGTTCCTTTGGTCTCCCCCATTTTTTGGTTCATTTATGGGGAAAAAAAAACTTTAATTTCATTGCTTGATGGATATTAAATGTTATGCCTTATCATTTTAGACTTTTAGAGTTCTATGAAACAGGTGCTTTCTTTTCACCATAATCACCATTTTTAGTGCAACAAAATTTGTTTGCATCCTGATTCTCCCAAGAGTTTTAATTTTCATTTTGTAGAATGGGAAGAGCCAAGTTCTAATAGCAGTTGTGCTACTTGCTCAGTGCCCTCAGAATTAGAGATGTGTACAATAAATCCTAGGATGGGATTTGGCAGGTAGTAACGACTTCCAATAAATCACAGTTGTTTAATTGCATTGTATCCATTCATACCACTACTTCCAAAACTCAGCTGAGTTAACCCTATCTTTTTTTCCCTGCGTTTCAGCTCGGTGCTTGTCACATTCGCTGACATGTTGCTTTGTACTCTCCCACAGCAGATGAATGTAACATCCTTTCATGTCACCTTCCCCCAGGTGCCTCGTCTATGCATTGTGTGATAGTAGGCACTCATTAAAGAATACTGATTGGCAAGGAAAGCCACTAAGCAGTTTTTCCTAGTTTACACTAAAAAAAAAAAAAAAAGGCAGTTTACAAAAATTCCTGAAAATAAACAGTGATCTTTATTTTTTAAATATATTTTTATTTTTTATATTTTATTGATTTTTTTACAGAGAGTAAGGGAGATGAGAGAAACATCGATCAGCTCCCTCCTGCACACCTATTAGGGATGTGCCCACAACCAAGGTACATGCCCAACTGGAATTGAACCCAGGACCCTTCAGTCTGCAGGCTGATGCTCTATCCACTGAGCCAGACCAGTTAGGGCTAAATATATTTTTATTGATTTCAGAGAGGAAGAGATAGAAACATCAATGGTAAGTCATTGATCGGCCACCTCCTCCTACACACCCCTTCCTGGGGATCGAGCCTACAACCTGGGCATGTACCCTGCCGGGGAATCGAACTGTGACCTCCTGGTACATGGGTCAAAGCCCAACCATGGAGCCACACCAGCCGGAAACAGTAATCTTTAAAAGTCGGTATGGTGTCAGATTTATAACAATTGTGAAAGCTTTTCTTTTTTCTGTTCGATTTTATATCTTTATTGTTGATAGTATTACAAATGTCTCCCTTTTCCCTCCAATGGCCCCTTCACTTGGTTCCTACTCCACCCTAGGCCTTCACCACCCTAGTGTCTGTGTCCATAGATAAGATCTTTGGTTAATCTCTTTCCACACACACCCCCACCCGCCCACCTGCAACTGCCTCTCCTCTGAGATTTGTCAGTCTGTTCTATGCTTTCATTTTATTCACCAGTTTATTTTGTTCATTAAATTTCTTGTTCATTTGATTTTAGATTCAATTGTTGACATGTATTTGTTGCCATTTTGCTCACATTTTTTTTTTTATCTTCTTCATCTCCCTCTTCTTAAAGAATACCCTTCAACATTTTATGTTTGGTAGTGATGAACTTTAACTTTTCCTTGTTTGTGAAGCTCTTTATCTAAATCTCAATTCTAAATGAGAGTTTAGCCAGGTAGAGTAACCTTGGTTGTAAGTACTTACTACTTGTCAATTTGAATATTTCTTACCACTTTTGACCTGCAAAGTTTCTGATGAGAAATGAGCTGACAGTTGTATGGGCGCTCCCTTATAGGTAAGTAACTCCTTTTTTATTTTTATTTTTAAAAAAATATATTTTATTGATTTTTTTACAGAGAGGAAGGGAGAGAGTGAGTTAGAAACATCGATGAGAGAGAGTCATCGATCAGCTGCCTCTTGCACACCCCCTATTGGGGATGTGCCCGCAACCAAGGTACATGCCCTTGACCAGAATGCGAATCTGGGACCTTTCAGTTCGCAGACTGACGCTCTATCCACTGAGCCAAACCAGTTTCGGCAACCAACTCCTTTTCTCTTGCTGCTTTTAAAATTCTCTTTTTGTCTTTAGCCCTTGGAATTTTAACTATGATGTGTTTTGGTGTGGTCCTCTTTGGGTTCCTCTTGTTTGGGATTTTCTGTGCTTTCTGGACTTGTAAGTCTCTTTCTTTTACCAGATAGGGGGAAGTTTTCTGTCATTATTTCTTCAAA